TCTTCTGGGATTTGGCACCGTGTATATGTGGTGTTAACCGACGTTTCGGAGGAACGTATCGCCTCCATCTTCAGGGTAGAAGGAAAAATATAAGAAATCCGCAAGCGAAGAGACCGTGAGAACCGGTAAAAGCAGTCTGCACTCCGAAACGTCGGTTAACAACACATATACACGGTGCCAAATCCCGGAAGACTGTTTTCTTCATAGTCACCGCCGTGAAAGCCTCAAATCTTACATAATGTTTATTTAATTAAATGGACAGTGGAATGAAAAAAAAATGGTATTCTACTACAAGATCTACTAAATGATATATTTAGTTTTAAGTTTCCAACCTAAAATTTAATATACATTTCTCATCTGGTTTATGCTTAGGCTTTTACATGTCATGCCTCACTAAGTCTTAACTTGTATACATAGCCGTGTATATATAATATGGATAGGAAGCGTAGCACGAACGGGAGAGTAGAGATACACACAGTTATGGTGGAGACACATGAAGGATCAGAACTACTTGGAAGACCTGACGTAGATAAGAGAATAATATTAAAACTGACCTTAAAAATATATGTGAGGGTATAGACTGGATTTATCTGGCTCAGGATAAGGGCCAGTGACGACCTTTTGTGAACACAGTAATGAAAATAGACGTAGATAAGAGGATAATATTAAAATTGACCTTAAAAATATATGTGAGGGTATAGACTGGATTCATCTGGCTCAGGATAAGGGCCAGTGACGACCTTTTGTGAACACAGTAATGAAAATAGACGTAGATAAGAGGATAATATTAAAATTGACCTTAAAAATATATGTGAGGGTATAGACTGGATTCATCTGGCTCAGGATAAGGGCCAGTGACGACCTTTTGTGAACACAGTAATGAAAATAGACGTAGATAAGAGGATAATATTAAAATTGACCTTAAAAATATATGTGAGGGTATAGACTGGATTTATCTGCCTCAGGATAAGGGCCAGTGACGACCTTTTGTGAACACAGTAACGAGAATAGACGTAGATAAGAGAATAATATTAAAATTGACCTTAAAAAATACGATGTGAGGGTATAGAGTGGATTTATCTGGCTCAGGATAAGGATCAGTGACGACCTTTTGTGAATACAATAATGAAACCTCGGGGTTCATACACTGTTGGTAAGCCAGTGTAGCCTGACACTTGGAGATGGAGTCCACATCTCTCAGTACCAGCAACACTCAACACTTCGACTTCAATACAGTTGTTTTATTGGAAAGCGAGAAGCACGCGCAGGCAAAATAGGACGTGTAAAATTACGCACACATAGGCTACGTATTATGTAACACTGTTTCCATCGTCTGCAAGGATCAGTGCTTAAATGTGTCTTCTATGAACTGATTTCACTGCGACATGGGATGCCCTGAAGGATGACACACACAGAAACACAACAATTTCCAATGCACAGTTCAGCAGTTGTTACTGTTACACAAACCCGCCCGATTTCATTTCACTATGTCTTAGCCTCGTAGATTTCTATACTTAACATGGCGTCCACATCGCAGAATCTGAAAATGGCTGACGAGCTACGTTTTGCCATGAAGTCTACGGGTATGGACTATAATAAAAGGAAACGTTATTCTTACGTTCCTGCTATTTAGCCTATATTTAGAAATACGTGGACAGTTTTACGTCGGCTCAGGATTGACTACAGTGGCGGACTCTAGAAGGCAAGTTAATGAACCTTTATTCTGCATAAAATTCGGGAAATTTTCTGACTGACAAATTATCAGCTTCTCAAGACGGACTCTGCTCTGTGGAATCGGTTATATCCAGTTCTGTAACTATTTCAAATTTGCATAAAAATAAAAAATCACCAAGAACAAAGAGAGAGGTTAAATATTAATTCCTGCCAATCCATCAGGTATTTCGATGTTTCGGTCTATCGCTACTCTCTATGGGTTGTTACTGCAGGCAAAATACAACCCGTATATTTCACACAGCATAGAGCTGTAAGTTTCACACTTCTTTGTGCACTGGCCCGATGTCTCTTCTTAACAGACGATGCCTTAGCGAGCGAAAACGTAAGGTATAATACTGCAGAAGCCGCAGGCTACACATTATAATGCAACTTAACGTTTTTACACCATTTTTAAGTAGACGCTATCTTATCCACCTCCAGAAAATAAACAAGGACATAACACTCTTAAAAGAATCTGGTTCCGTTAACACGTTCACAGTCTGTAACACCGTACACATATTTGTGTCTGTCAGTTGTAACACTCCAAAGCTGTTGCTATGTTTTTCAGTCTGCAGGATCAGACATGTTCAGGTTATCTTTAGTACTGCGTCAAAACTACATTCATAGAGGCCTATGTAAATTACTGTAAGCATTGTACTCGTATATGTAAGTAGATTTGCGTTAAAACTAGATTCATATAGGCCTACTATGTACATTACTGTAAGTATTCTATATATAAGTAGATTTGGGAACGACGATAACAAATCAAAATTTGGTTGAAGGGGAAATTAAGAGGAAATTGAACTCGGGTAATGCTTGCTACCATTCAGCCTAGAACCTTCTGTGTTCTCGTCTGCTGTCTAAAAACATAAAAATTAGAGTATACAAAACTATGATTTTGTTTGTGGTTCTCTAAGGGTGTGAATCTTGGTCTCTGACATTAAGGGAGGAACGTAGACTGAGGGTGTTGAGGAGAATATTTGGACCGAAGAGAGATGAAGTGACAGGAGGTTGGAGAAAACAGCATAATGAGCAGCTTCATAACTTGTACTCTTCTCCAAGTGTAATTAGAATGAGCAAGTCAAGGAGGATGAGGTGGGTAGGGCATGTAACACGAATGGGGGAGATGAGGAGTGCATACAGGATATTGGTGGGAAAGCCAGAAGGGAAGAGACCACTGGGAAGACCAAGGCGTAGGTGGGTGGACAATATTAAAATGGATCGTAGAGAGATAGGATGGGAAGGTATGGATTGGATTGATCTGGCTCAGGATAGGGACCAGTGGAGGGCTCTCGTGGACACGGTAATGAACCTTCGGTTTCCATAAAATGCTGGGAAATTCTTGAGTAGCTGCAGAATTGACTGCTCCTCAAGAAGGGCTCAGCTCCGTGAGTAAGTATACAAGTAGATTCTAAGTTATGTGTGCATATATATGTAGGCATACATCCTAAATCCTTGATCAATTAAAAAATAGCTTTCTCTTACCAAATTTAAATGGAATTGTGGATTTTGCAATTAAGGGCCAGCATTTGGATAAACTACTATAGAGGTAGACTCTTATTCTTTGCTTTTAACAATTCCTGCTCTCGAGAAATAATACTGTGCTCACGAGAAGGCAGACTCTCATTATGAAGACTAAACATGTGTAATGCTTATTCAAGATGCCAAAACTGTATTCCATATTCAAACATTTGTCCGTAACGGTAAGGGAGGGAGAAGAGCGCACTATATTTAAACGAAAATTATGAATTTTACATCATGGTGTGCCCTGAGAAGAGAACACTGAGTAAGGTACACTGGCCCCCCCCTCTTCGAGACGCATTAAACCTGTGGTTGCAGTACTTACCGGAGGGACGAGGGAATTACATGCAGGGCATGCGTTTACGAGGACAGATACAGTATAATATCAAACTCCAAGTCAAATATTCGATTTCTTAACTGCATTTTATCACGTTATCCGTTAAGCATCCGCAAGGTAAAAAAGGTAAACTTGTCCCTGTGTCTAACTAATTAATCACTATGCCATGAAGGCGTATGGAGGAGTAGATGTATAGATCCACAGTTTCTTGATCTCGGCACTAGTTGGAGGTGAGTGGTCAGCTTCACGCTCCGGGTGCTTTAACCGTAGGGAAAGAACCCCCGCTGCTCATTGGACAGGAGGCTGGGTGGGCTCCAGAGTCGGTCTGGACGACGTGGAGAAGAGAAAATTCTTGAACCTACCTGGACTCGAAGGCCGCGCCATAGCTTAAGCGGTTAGTCGCTGGCTTCCCACAGCGGCGGCCAGGGTTCGATCCCGGGTCTGGTCAAGTGGGATTTGTGGTGGACAAAGTGGCGCTGGGGCAGCTCTCCTCCGAGTACTTCGGTTTCCCCTGGCAATCTTCATTCCACCAATTGCTCCACAATCACCCTCACCTATCATCTGGGGCTGGTACAATAGGCCAGAAGTGACCGCAGTACAAGGGACTTAGTCCCACCCCAGTAGCAATACAAGAGAATACCTGGACTGGAACTCCAACCTCTCGGTCGTCCAGCCCGTAGCCAGTCGCTAGACCGACTACTCTAAATACATCCGTCAGAATTATTAATCCGGATATACGAAAGATAGCAACTGGATCTCAGCTGTCGTCAACATTACTCTGCTCAAAATAAAAACACGGTACAGCTTTAATAAAAAATATATATTTTTCAAACTTCTAGTATGGTAGAAGTGATCATGAACAATATATTTATAT